ACGAGGCATTCCTTACGGGCTTGTTCCTAGCGGAAGATCTGGGAGCTGAGGAAGTTAAGATCTTCATTGATTCTCAACCAGTGGCTTCCTAGGTCCGGGGAGAATACTAGGTCAAAAATGACCAACTCGCTGAATATTGGGCCCTAGTACGAGAAAGAAAGAAGAGATTCAAATAAGTAGATGTGCATCATGTTCCCCGTGAACATAATGCTCGCGCAGACGTCCTATCCAAATTAGCAAGCACAAAGAAGAAGAGAGGAAACAAGTCGGTGATACATAAAATCCTTCCTCGACCAAGCACCCATAAATCCCCTTCAACCTTAGAAGTATTCACCATAGGGGAGAGCGACTCTTGGATGACCCTCGTACACGAATACCTCACAAAAGGAAAGCTGCCTACCAACTCTAAAGAAGCCGTCATTGTCAGATGTAGATCTTGCTCGTACATTTTGGTCAAAGGAAAACTATACAGGAGATAATTCTTTACTCCCCTCCTCAAATGTGTCGATCAATGCAGCGCAGATCGTATCTTGCTCTAAATCCACGAGGGGATTAGCGGCTAGCATCTAGGCGGAAGATCCCTCACCAGAAAAGCTTTAGGAGTATGATACTATTGGCCCACGATGCAGCACGATGCAAAAGAACACGTAAACAGATGCGACAAATGCCAACGACATGTAGACATGCATCTAGCTCCACCTAAGGAGCTCAAGTCTCTCTCCTCCCCTTGTCTCCTCTCCTGGTGGGAATTGAACCTCCTTGACCCATTTGTAGTAGGGACCAATCAAAATAAATATTTGATCAAAGAGGTCGACTATTTCACAAAATGGATATAATCTGAAGCTCTGGCCAATATTACGGCCCAAAACGTCCTCCGCTTCTACAAAAGAAACATCCTTGCTCGATTCGTCATTCCACAAGTGATATTCATCGACAACGGTACTCAGTTCACCAATCATGCCTTTCAGGAATTTGTCGCCAAGCTAGGCACCACCCAACACTTCGCCTTTGTCGAGTATACCCAGACGAACGGCCTAGCCGAATCTACGAACATGGTAATTCTCCGGGGACTTAAGCGAAGATTAGACTAAACCAAGAAGAGGTGGGTCGAAGAGTTACATAGCGTACTCTGGGGATATCGAACAATGACACATTTGATGACCGGAGAAACTCCTTTCCGACTAACCTACAGAAATAAGGAAGTCATTCACGTAGAGATCGAGGAACCCTCCAGACGAACCGATTCTCCCCCAGACGAGGAGATGGATGACGCCACCCTTCAAGAGTAATTAGATCTAGTAGAAGAAATCAAAACAGGAGTGGCCCTATAAGAGGCCTCGCTCAAACAAAAGATAGCCATGCGCTACGATGCTAAGGTCATACAACGAGAGTTCGAGGTCGGCAGCCTTGTCTTAAAAATAAATCACAAAGAATATCGCGAAGGCAAACTCCCAACGAACTGGGAAGACCCTTATTACATCTACGCAAAAACGGGGACCGTGGCGTACTACTTAGAAAACTTACAAGGGTAACAACTCGTTCGATCATGGAACACTGAAAAGATGAAACAATATTACAGTTAAAAAACATTGATCAGTCAGCGAGTTCTGTCGACAAGACAGACTCATCCAGGCCCGGCCACGCATGCATGCATAGGTACAAGCATAGCACCTAAAATATTTTGAAGGGGTGAAGCCCCGATCTTGTAACGAGCATGTCCTCAGCCCGACATTGTTAACTCGATCGAGCTACATCATCCTCGTACCACGACGGTAGAATGCGCGGCTCGCGATGGGAAGTTCATGCCACTGAACTCAGGACCGTCGAAACGAGACCTGAGCTCCGGCCCACGCCCGGTACTCACCCTGGCCGTTTATCCAGTTTCCCCACACTGGAGAACATACAAACCTAAACGAGCTAGTCCCCGCTACGAACTTTTAGCAAAATAAAAGATGTCCCAAGCGGACAAAGATAACAGTAAACATGAAAACACGAGCCAAATACTTGGAACAAACGACCACCGTGGCCAGAAAATTAAAAAATACGACCGCCAGGGCCGCTATTGTATGAATATTACAAAAGGGGAGGCTGTTAGCCCCCCCATCCAAAAGAATAATTTTACAGCCACAAAGACCACACTTGTTCGGAAATTACATAGACGGGAAAAGGCCCAGAAAAATAAAATTACAACAATATGGCACGCAGGTCGGGACAAAATAAAACATCTAGCAGCCATCCTTTTGTATCTTCCCCGACAACGGGCGATAGCTGGGCAGGACCCCCAGCAGGCTGAGTGTCGAACTCTTTGAGGTAGTCAGGAACCAGAATCTTGCCATCGGCTACGTAGTAGTTAACCCCCATAACTGAGGTGTTAAGTTCGACCCCACCCCGGGGTTCAGCACGTGCATCTGCTTCACTGTATTCTCAAAACTCCCCTCAGAGGCAGCTTGGGCATCGTCCCCCGCCAGTTGAAAATGAGCAACAAGCTCAGCCCGAGTCTTTAAATCTTTTGTGTCATCTGACTCGTCTTTGGAGGGAGTAATCTCGGCAGTCAAGGTCTCTACCTTCTCCTTAAGAACCTTCTCTCGAGCAACAAGATGCTGTGTTCCTCAGAGAGTCTCCCCGATTCCTCCTCGGATAGTCTTTGGGCCTTTTCCTCATCGATCCACCCCTTCTCGCTCGCGGCTCGCTTAGCCCGAAGTTTCTTTAACTCTGCCTCCTCCGAAGAACTCCCCTTGGTGTAAGAAACAACGATCTCCAGTATCCTCATCAAACTACAAGCGTCCCGCGCCAGCATCGCCTCTTCTCAGTGCGGTCCGAACCCTCGAGATGAAGGGATTCAGTCCAAGAAAGAGGAAGAGTTGCGCCCTCAAAGAAAGCCTTTTCCAGCCAACAAGGGGTATGTCGTACGTCCCTTTCTCCTTCTCCCCGGTCAGATCGACACTTCCCTCGGCACATGGCCTCTTTGCTTTCGAGGATATGGGGACAGGTGAGAGAACAACTATAGCTTGGCCCGAAGACAAATCACCCGAACCTGAAGTAGGAGCAACCCCCGAGCCAGTTTAAGCGTCCTTCTGAGCCTTCTTCACTCTAACAGTAAGCGTCCTGGCTATGCGCTCTTGGGCGGGATTCATGCTATCTGCAAAACAAACAAAAAAAGAATCGTAGTTAGAAAACAGGGATTCAAAAAAGCGACGACCGCATATAACTATCCAAAACATAAATACCCAAATAATTGATGGGATCCTCACTCTCGAGGAGCTCCTTGACGGTTATAAGGCTTGGCTCGTATACAACCTCCCTGTTCTTGGTGATCACAAGCTTGCCTCCCCAACCCACTCGCTGGACCCGAGGGATCCGGGCCACGAAGGCAGTCAGGACGACGAAGCTCTCCTGGTCCTTGATGCCAAGCTCCCCTCCCTCCAAACATAGGAACCCAATTTGTTATCGATGTGCTTCCACATCCACTTGAATGGGAACTTGTAAACCAGTTTGACCACATGGTCTCCCAGCTCATTCAAACAGGGGGAACCATCCTCGTTGCACACCAGTATGGTCCTAAAGATATTTAGCATCGCCTTGCTTGAGGAAGGCTGCACCAGTATATATTTATCCTTGAAGTGGCAGACAGACTCCAAATAAGATTTAAACAGCTTCCCGTTGCCTTGCTAGAAAAGCGACCCATCCCCATTTGTCGTCGATCTTGCTCCTCTGGAGATGGAAGCAGTAGAAGAACAAAGGAATGGTAGACCATATCTTCAGGTAATCACAAACAATCTCGAATGCTCGCATGAATGCAATGTCGTTCGGGTGCAATTGGGAAGGAGTCGACCAAAGATGCCTGAATACGGCCACCTCAAAATCCGAGAAATAAAGCCGAAGACTCATTTCCTGGAAAATGATGTTGTACATGGGAACCTTCCATTTTTCGTATTTCGAGCGGATCCTGCTCTCTTTTCCAGGAATATACAATGAACACTCTCCCCGATTTCCATCCTCATGTGCGTACACCTCGATAAAGACCTCATCCTGATGCTCAAAAAAGTAGGAAGGTCAGTCCCAAGGATCATTCGCGACCCAAGTGTCATATCCCAAATTTGTCCTACCCTCCATTAGGTCATCTAAACACATCATGCACCATTAATCAATAAACTTAGCGTGGGATCAGGGAATCCATAAATCTAAGGTTCCACATGATTTGAAGACTCCTGCATTAAAAGGCCTGATGAGTATTGGATTGTGAAATCAGAGTTTGATTCAGGGTTATCATGGATTTTTTATTTCATCAAGCTATAAAGTCGTCATCTTTTTTAAGGGCAAGATCACTAGGGTTTCAATTTTGGTTTTTTATTGAGTTTATTTTAAGGTAAGACATGGTAGCAGAAATGATGGATTCATTGTAAATCATGACATGGCTACACTCTCTCATTTGTTTATGATTTTCCTTTTTAAGAGGAACTGGGGACTGAGGTTTCTTTAAAAAAAACATGGTTTAGACCTTATTTTAAATCTATTTTCTTATGAGAATCATAAAAGAATTATTAATTCATTATTCAAAGAGTTTCATTAAGATCCACTCTTCTAAAAAATCTTCAAGCAACATACGTTCATTATCATCCAAACATCCAACAATTTGTTATCCATTTAAATCCATCCAACATCATCATGTCAAGGTCAAGTAAGTTTTACCAAAACATGTTTGTGTTTTATTCAAAAGCAGAAGAACAAATTCTTAATATGAAAGGGGAACTTTGAAACTTGGAATTCTGCCTTGGAGTTTAAGAAATTAACATAATGGAAAGAATTAACATATCATATACATTGAAGAATGAAAAAATGTTTCAAATTCAAAACCAGTTTGGAATTGTAACATTACAAATGGCATATATGCAGGAGTTTTACAAGATAAAAACTTTACATAAAACTTACTATTCTAAGATCTAAGCTTATCCTAACATATTCAAAATATCCTAATATTCTACAATCTCTAATCTTTATCCTCATGGCCCCAGCCCCCAAGACTCCTCCATGGCAGGCTTCATGTCAGCATACTTGTAAATAAGAATCTTGCATCAATATCAGACAAAACAGAATGGATAAAAACAGTAGTGCAACCTTTTTAAAACTATACGTCATGCTAATGAGAGCTCTGCATAGACTCGCTTCAAGTTGAACGCCAGTCCTTGGCCTGCATAAAATACAATCAGAAACATGTACATCAATGTGGCATTGTGCATATATATGAGATATAAATCCAACGAGTTGTGACTGATATAAAGGGAGATATCATTACGAGCCTGCATAGTAGATTGGATATAATATGTGATGAGACAGATGTTGATTCAGATAACCATCATGATGTTGGAAGGCAAGTAAGGGATGATGATGTATCAATTGAAAAGCCCGTTTCATAACTTGTGCTTCATCTATTAAGAAAAGAATGCAGCCCACCCCTTTTCCTAGAAGAGTTTTCGCACCATGGTTAGTAGGGACGTATGTATGTGATTACTTGCAGCCTTTTGAAATTGTGGAGGTTTTAAAAAGATCGCGGTATCGAGTTGTTATTCGTGGAAACTACAACCGAGGTCTCTACAACTTTGGAACCAGAAACAAAAACTTAATCAAATTTTGCAGCATGAAAATATCCAAAACAGGGCAACGTTCAAAGCACAGGACTATGCATTTACATCCAAATCAGTACTAATCAAAATAAATTAGGCAAGTAAAGAAGCATAAACAGGGCAATCAGATGTTTTTTGAAACGTTTTGAAAAAAAAAGTTTTGAGGATCAGCAAAATACAAATTTTCTTTTAAAATCATAATCAAAGGCAGACATGCAAAGTTATTACGCTTAAAGTACATAATCATCAAATATGGAAGCAATTTGAATCTGTCTCTAACATTTGGGCAAGAAACCGTGGATTTGGCAAGCACATAAATAATAATTAAGGAAAATCAGCGAAGGAGGAAAATAATGCAATATTGCAGCAATATAATTGCAGACAGATTAAACACCTTCCTAAAAATCCTAATTTGCAAGAACTATAAATTAAAGCGAATTTGACAGAGAGGAGGGTGGAGGCGTGCCAGGAATTAAAAGAGACAGAAAATTACCGTAGAGAGGGCGGAATTCGTCGCATTGCAATTGCACTCTCATTTTAAGGTTTGAGTTTCGGGATCCGAAACTCTAAACCTGGTGGAGCCACCATCGCAATACTTCACCGCCGCTACGTCAACCTCGTCGTCGCATCTGTGAGCAAAAAGAAACGGGAGTTAGCCAAAGAGGCCGGAACTCAGAGAAACAAAAACGCGCTTTAGAGGTAAGACAACCATAGATCACTTATCTTTTTCGTATTTGTCATGTTTGGTTTAGGGTGGGAAGATTATTTTTTTGGGATGGGTGAGGATGAGAGTATCGCCGCGAGAGTTGTGGTGGGACTAGGGTTTAGCAACGGATGAAGAAGAAAATGGGGAAGGTTGAGAGAAAGGGGTAGAGAGATGGGATCTATCGGGCCAAAAGAAGAAATGACTCGGCCCATGTCGCTTTTTTTTACTATGTTTTTTTCTTTTGGGTATTTTGGGCTTCAGCTTCCCCCTGGCCAAATTGTTGATTGCACTCCATTTTTGTTAATTTTTACTAGTGATTAGAGAAGTTATGCACCCCCTAGCAAAATTTGTTTTTTATGTTATTCTTGTAAATATGTTTTTGTTATTTATCTTTATTTCCGATTTTATTTATTTTTAATAATTATAGTATTATATTCCTCAATTATAATTATATGTATATTTATTAGTACAATTAATTAATTTATACTTAATCAACGTAAATATTTTTTATTAAATCACATCTTTAAAATTGTACCCTTAGAGGCAATTCTCGCTGTAAAATTGGATTTAATATTTTATATCAAAATATTAAAACCCGTAAGTCATCAAAATTATAATATCCACAGGCGACGCGTGGCCAATATCTGGCCACGTGATAAAGAGGGGGGGTGTATCAGACTCCTTAACTTTGCGTCTAAAAAAATACGCAAACAAACGTCAAACCATTTTTTTATAATAAATTAACTCTAACAATTAATTTTCAAAAAAGGAATACAAAGAATTTTTAATTAACTTTGCACTTAGTTCAAAATCTCTGCTATCTACACATTCGAACTAAGTGCATGGAAAATTAAAATATCTGCGTAATCCATAAAAAACACAGACCAACCGCGAACTACGAAAATGAGACTCTGATTCCTCCTAAGGAGGATACGTAGGCATACGATCAAAAATTGTTGCGAGTCCCGCTAACTAAAATTCAAACCGTTTTCCTTAATTAATTAAAACCCTATTTCCTAAACATCACACTTCTAAGCCTAGTATCCTTGCGAACAAGGTAGATAAGGGGTGCCTAACACCTTCCCCTTGTCTAGAACCGAGTCCAAATCTAGAATCTTTGAACTTTAGGGTTATTCCTTTATACTCCCTTCCTTTAGAATAAAAATTAAGGGTGGCGACTCTAATTTAAAAACCAGTTGCAACAGTTGGCGACTCTGTTGGGGAACCAACCTTAGGTTTAGGAGTCTTGTCCATTAGTTTTAGGATTTTAAGGGGTTTTTATTTTTGGGTTTTTTACATTTGTTTAATTATTGTTTATTTATTTATTTATTTATTTGTTTATTTTCTTGCTTTCTCTTATTAATCATTACATTTATATGTCAGTGACGGGTTTTTAAATTTTGCAAATTTTTTTATAAACCTTAGAAAGAAGGTTCGTCTATTAGCCAAGGGGATACATCATCCCTATGAGTTTATGTGACGACTTCGCCTAGAGTCGGTGGAATTCAGCAAAAGAAATACGTCTCAAGAGACATCCTCTTGGGAAGTAGGACTTTGGAATGACGCCTATGACTCTTTTTATAACCCTAAACTAAAATCTCATGATGAGACCTTTCACGACCTAGAGACGAAAGTTTCGGTCTGCAAAGAGACTTCACTTAAGGGAGGCCCTTGCGCCTTTCCCTCTATTGTTATTCATGATACCCTTAAGGAAATCACCTTATAGGGAGGGTAGAATATCCATAAAACCAAGCTAGAGCCTACCTTTTAAGGGTTACTGTTCACTGAATCCCGTCATTTAAGATTTTATTCATATGTTCGTGCATCTCTACATTTCGCATGTTCATCATACATTGGTTGCTTGTCTTATTCATAGGGTATAAAGAGTAAAGGTTTTTGTGCGAGTATCTGAAAATGAATGCCAAAGGAAAACAACTTGTTCATATCAATGTTACCAATCCGGATGTAACTCGAATCAAAGCTGTAAAAGAAAGATTGTATGAAAGGGCCATGAAAACTTTTACTCGTCGTTATGGGGATATCTTGGAATTAATTAAAATTGAAGTACAGTTGGTCGCCATTTCTGCTCTAGTACATTTCTATGATCCTCCACTAAGATGCTTCACATTTCAAGATTTCCAGTTAGCCCCGGCCTTAGAGGAACTGGAAAAATTCTGAACTTCTCCAAAGAGAAGGCTTATGCAGGTATTGGGAAAACTATTGATATTAAGATACTGGCCGAAGGTCTGGGAATCCCTTACCCTGAGTTTACTCTGAATTATAAGAAAGAAGGAGAAGTGCGAGGGATTAAAAGGTGTTATTTGGAGAGCAAAGCTCTTGATTTGGCAAATAACAAGGAATGGGAATCTTGTGTCGACTGTCTTGGGTTGCTCATATTTGGTGTTGTCTTATTTCCGCGCACTGTAGATTATATCGACCCTGCCGCCGTCAGCGTGTTTTGGGGAGCAAAAAATTTTAATACAGACCCCACTCCAGCTCTACTTGCTGATATCTACTACGTCATTTACAAACGGTATGAGAAGAAGAGAGGTACTTTAAATTGTTGTATTCCATTACTATACTCCTGGTTTATGATTCACCTTTACAAGGAGGATTACTTAATCCCAAGTCTGACAAGGTATGAATGGCCTCAGAAGTTAAGATCTCTTACTGCTAGCTTTGTATTATGGTATGCCAGGAAGTTAGACATCAGTGATATTATCTATAGTTGTGGGGATTTTCCTAATGTCCCACTAATCGGGTCACAAGGCTGCATCAATTACAATCCCACCTTGGCCTTACAACAACTAGGGTTTCCTTTGGAAGACAAACCTTCCGATGAACAACTTCAGCAATTGATTGTTCACGACATGGGCATAAATGACAGAGAATTACTCAACAAAATCATTCGGGCTTGGAGTAGGGTTAAAAAAAGAAAAGCAGAGAAGAAGAATGCAGTGGCAAAAGAACCTTACACTTATTGGGTTCTAAACAGGGTACATATTATCAAACTTCCTTTTGATATAGACCCTGAATATAAGCAAGAGGCCCCAATTACTCCTCCTATGTCTTTAGAAGAGGTAGATGATCTAAAAAAGGCACTAAAGCAGGCTCAGAGAGAGAAGGAAGAACTAGAGCTCAATCTCTTTAATTTGACCAAGGAGAAAAGACAAATGCAACGCATACTCGAATCGAAATATCAACAGATCCAAAAAGAGCGTGAAGCATTTGAAAAGAAAAGTTTGAAAAGGAAAGTTTGAAAAGGAAGCGGTCAACCGAAGGGCTTTTAAGTGCTACCTTTAATCTGGATTCCGATAACCAGAGGCTGGAAGATGCTGCCAATGAAATTGGAAGGTTGAATAGATGGTATGAAAAGGCTGTGCAGGAAAAAAAAGTGCTAGAGGAAAAGTTAAGGGCTCAGATCCAAAGCTTGGCCCAGACATCCTTAGACCAAGAAGAACAGTTGAAGTACCTCACTACTAGACTTCAGGATAGCCAAGAGTCAGAAGTCAAAGAGCGCCTGATGAAAATGAGGGTAGAGAGATATCTGACCCAGAAGACTGATGAGTATGAGCAAGTATGCCTTGAACTGGAGGGGCTCCGGGAGAACTTCCTGATACAACAAAGACTCTACACCGAGCTGAAAGCTGAAAAGATGTATTGGGAAGAACAATATATGAAAATTGCCCAAGCAGGAAGGGATAACCACAATATAATTCCCCACCTCTACCAAGAGTACCAATACTACAAAGATAAGCACGAGAAGCTCGCGTTCTTGGCCAACAACCTTATCGAAGACATTCCCGGAAGGTTAAAATACGCCGAAAGTGTAATGGCCCCTCTCCCAGAGGATGTTGACAACTTTCTCAAGCTGTGTAGGACAATGGTTGATCGTTTTAGAGAAGATATGCGCAAACGGGCTTAGAATATTGTTTTCCTTTGGTGTATTTTCCTTCCAGCAAATTTACTGTTTAGAATTGTAATATTTTTCAGTATCTGAGATGTATTATCCTTTAAAGACAGTTGATGTTTCAATAAAATCTTTGTGTTTCCTATCTTGTTTGTGTATTCATTTTTCATATACTTACTAAATAAAAATGAAAAAAAAAAGCAAAAACCTATATATATGTATACCCAGGTGAATAAGACACGCAAGGCTTAAAACTTAAGTATCACACATACATAATCATGCATTTAGAAAACATTACATCCCATGTATTTTCCATTCAGAAACTCATCGTTTTTCAAAAAATGTTCACCAATTGAACCATTGGTAGAAGGAAACTACCACCTCCTTGGCCTCTGTATCAAACAAGAGCTCACCACTTAAGAGCCATGGAACAAATAGAAGGGAATCAAGAAGCTTTTAAGTTGGATTTGGAACAAGTTAAAAGTGACATCGACTCAATGAGGTGAGACATGAGTCAGGTTCTTCTAGCTTTGAAGAGCATCATTGATGGACAAGAACAGATTCCTAGGGTAGCTTTCAAAGAAATAACCCAAGCCATTGGTGCATCAGGCGGTCACCAATTGAGAAAAGGACTGGAAACAGGGCCACAAAAATATGTCATGGCTCAACACGAGAAAAGACAAGAATCTGAGGGATTTATCCCACCTCCACCAAAGGCGGGGGCATCTCCCACCATACAAATCCCAGTTAATCATGTTGACGATTACTTGGATTTACAATACAGAGATAACGATCTGGAGGATGTTAATCAGGCACCACAGAAAGTGACCAACACCCCTGCTGTTGAAAACCCGTTGGCACTAGGTCAATACAAGGCTCTAGAAGAAAGGTTGAAAGTTGTGG